AAATTAGGAAACTATCATTAAAAACATGGGGGAAAGCTCCCATAACCATTCCACCCACAGACATCTGTGTTTGTAAGTACAATATTTTCTAAATTAAAGTCATAAGTTAGGGGCTGGAAAGCTTAGTTAAGAGTACTTGCTACTCTTACAGAAAACCCAGATTCAGTTCATAGCACCCACATGGTGGTTTACAATCACCTGTAACTCTAGTTATAGGGAATCTGATGTCCTTTTTGGCATCCAAGGCACTGCACACATGTGGTACATAGACATATATGAGGGCAAAACATCTAAACATATACAAAATAAAAATAAAAAATATTTTTAAATCATAAATTACTTTTACCTTAAAAATGTAACGATTAAAGTTTTTTGCTAAGATTTTCCAGACCTCCGAAAGACATAACAAACCTGCTGGGAAGAGGTTAGGTATTTCTAGCCCATGGAGCATGTATTCAGGGGGCTGGGGAGATGGTTCAGCATTTAAGAGCACTGGCTGCTGTTCCAGAGGTCTTGAGTTCAATTCCCAGCAACCACATGGTGGCTCATAATAACTGTCTATAACAGGATCTGGTGACCTCTTCTGGTATGCAGGCATATATGCAGATAGAGCACTCATACACATAAAATAAATAAATAAATTTAGAGGAAAAAAAAAAGAATGTATTCAGGAGCAAACAACAATTTACCACTTGGAAGTCCTGCAGCTTATAAAATACCAAGCCATGGAACCCTGGCACCAGCCAACTCCTGCTAATGACACGGAGAAGTTACAGCACACTTCACCTATACTGACTTACTCAGCAAAGGCATCGCTATAGAGCGAGCTCCAGTGTTTTATTGCAGCTTTTTAACAATATTTGTTGCCTTTCCTGACTACGGACTGTGATTTCAAACAATTAAGTGGGGGACAGCTGACAGGTCTGCATGCCTCCTTAGTTCCCATAAACAGAGGGCCAAGCTTGATTTGCCAGTGTTAATTTAGTTGATTATAGCTTCAAAAATCCCTGTCTGGGCAAGGGCACTACTCCAGTTTACTTTTGTGTAGGCTGTCTTCTGTTTGTCTGAGGAGTAGGGTGGTATTAGCTTGTACCTTTCAACACATTAAAATGCTTACACCTCAGCAGGAGTTTCTTTGACTGGTTAAAACACCACGCTACTAGGCATATTAACATTTCCATCTGGGTTCCTGTTACTAAGAATATCCAAGTGTCCAGAATGGAACAAGTAAATCCCATGATGGCAGACATCTACATTTTTCAGTCATGGAGATCTGTGATTGTTTAGTTTCTACTGTTCATCTAACAGAATATCAACTAGACCACATCCATCATTCCTTTGAGATTGTTCTGTTAACTACTAAGAGTGAGTGGGTCTCCAAACCCAAACTTACATTGTTTGTAAAATGGTGATATTATATTGTTGTTGTTGTTGATGATTTTATGGTTTTTTGGGGGGATGTAGTCCTAACTGGCCTTGAACTTACTATTGTAGCTGAGGTTGACCTTGATTTCTGATCCTTCTGCCTCCAATTCCCAAGAGCTTAGATAATGGGTCTGTGTCACCACAGATGTCTTAAGAGATATTATCCTACAAGTATAATCATTTGCTAAATGCTTTAGATACATTTTCTGAGTTAACTATCAAATTCACCTTATCAGCCTCATTTTTCAGGCAAGAAAATGAACTTCGGGGCCTTAAGTAACTTACTAAGAGGAACAGTGCTAAAAAGGGATGGGATCTGAATTCAAAGTGAGATGGACTAACTCATCTATGTGTCCGCTATATAGTCTGGTAAGTTCCCAAATGCTCTCAGCTGCAGGAACTCTCTATGCCTTAGATATTGAGGACTACAAAGTACTTTCCTTTATGTGTTAGACTGTGCTATAAATTTTAAAACTAAGCAAAACTTGAGTGTTCATTTACTGAATCTTAAAAGAATAACAATAAATCCACTGGATTTTTAAAAACAATAACATTTATGAAAAATAATAGCAAAAGATGAAAAAATTTAAGCCTTTTTTGATACTACATTCAAACATGAGAGCAATTTCTTATGTGTGTTCATGTGTGTGCATGGGGGGCTGCATGTGTATATGAGAGTGAGCGTGTGAATGTGTGTGCAGGTCAAAGGTCAACCTTGAGTGTCATTCCTTAGGTGCCTTTTACCTTGTCTTTTGAAATGTGTCTCTTCATTGACCTTACCAATTATGCTACACTGGCTGGCCAGTGAGCCCCCAAATTCAATTGTCTTTGCCCCTCCAGTGAGCCTCCAAATCCACCTGTCTCTGCCCCTCCAGTGAGGCCCCAAATCCACCTGTCTCTGCCCTTCCAGCGCTGGGATTATTAGCATGTGCCACCATGAGAGGCTTTTGACATGGGTTCTCTGCAGGCTCTGGAGCCTGAACTCAGGTCTCCCTGCTTGCAGGGCAAGCACTTTATCGACTGTGCCATCTCCCCAATCTAAGAGCAGTTTCTTAAAGAGTAATGAAATGTGAAATTTGAAAACAAATCAATAAAATTTATGGGCTGTTAAATTCATTACATGTTTGAGATGTCACTGGTCTACCTTGTAATTTGAGTGGATCTTTTTACTTGTGCAATATTTTATTTATTTGTTTGTTTGTTTATTTACTTATTTAAATTTTTTAAAGAAAGGGTTTTTCCGTGTAGCCCTGGCTGTCCTGGAACGCACTCTAGACCAGGCTAGCCTCGAACTCAGAGAGTTCTGCATCCAGAGTGCCGGGATTAAAGGTGTGCACAGTGAAAAAGACAAATAACTTAGAATTACCATGGAAACAATTCTGAGCTCAGAGACCTCTTGAGAGGATCTTGAAAGGCATCAAGATCTGTGGACTATGCTTTCAGACCTGTTGGCTAGTTTAAAGGCTGGTTATAAAGGTTACGTGTGACACTGCACATAAGTGCTTAGCACACTATCGGGCATGCAGTAAGAGATTATTATAATTGGTGACTTGTAATTATCGTGATTATGTAACAATGTTATAAGAACAGTCGAGCCGAGTGTTAGAGGAAAGACTGTACAAGTCCTTCCAAATTAGAATCCTATTGTGATCAAATAACTATTAAAAGTATCATCAGAAGCCGGGCAGTGGTGGTGCATGCCTTTAATCCCAGCATTCAGGAGGCAGAGGCAGGTGCATCTCCGAGTTAGTCGTCTCAGACATTAGTACCTTAGGATGCATAAGCCCAATGTAAAAGTAAGTTTTGAGAGTTGGAGAGATAGATCAGCAGTTGAGAGCACTTGTTGCTCTTGCAGAGGACCCAGGTTCAATTCTCAGCACCAACATGGTGGCTTATAACATTCTGTAACTCCAGTTCTAGGTGACCCAATACCCTCTTCTGACCCCCATGAACACAAGGCATGTACATAGTGCACATACATACATGCAAACAAAACATTCATACACATAAAATAAAAGAAGCAAATCTTAAAAAAAAAGTTTAAAACTAAATTCTGGCAGTTCTCTTTGGACACACTACTATCCCATGAGAGTTAGGTGACATATGAGGTGACTGCTACATGGGTCATAAGCTTTAAAATCCTTATTATGGTGCGGGGAATGGCTAAAGGCACCTGTCATCAAGCCTGAAAACATGAGTTTGAGTTCTGGAACCCACATTATGGAAAGAGATCTGACCCCTGCAAGCCATCTTCTGATTTCCACACACGCACTGTGGATACACGTGAGAGGCATATATGCAGATGCGCACATACACACAATCAATTAATGAAAATTATTATGGTTTTCATGGGTGTCTGAACCTTGGGGGCAATAAGACGGTCAGAACCAGACCATACTGAGGTCAAGGTCTCTCATTTGAAGCATCCCAGTCCATGTAATCTATTGGAGCCACCTCAAAGAGAAGAGGACAGCTCCATAGCCAGACAGAACACTTGCGGCTACCACGACAAGCACCTGAGGCCACGCTTTGGATTTCTCTCTGAACAAAATGACCTTTTAAATCTTTGTAACACAGTGCATGCTCACCCAATTCAGGATGCCACGCCAAGGTGATGTAAATCAATGCCAAGATCAGACTAAAGCGGCTTGTGAAATTTAGCTATAGTAAGTCATTCAAACAGAAAATGGGTGTATGGAGAAAGAAATACAGTGAGGGCTCATTTTAGTATTAGATAACAGTCACTGGAGTTTTATGTCACACATACATTTCCTTTTCTCAACAGATTCATCGCCTCATTTCTTCTAAAGCAATAATCTCAATTAGACACTCAAGGAAGCAGATCGGAGAAATGTTAAGTTCATCATCTAAGTTCACAGGGCTAGGACAAAACAGAGGCACGATCTCAACCTGCCTCAAACCAAGGACAAGCCTTGCTCTTGGTCATGGTGTGTTTCCTCCCAATGTTTCCAACTGTTTTCATTAAAAGCACTAAAGTCAGTGAATTTGGTGAAGATTTGACTTTACAAAATACTTTCAAGGGTACCACGACCCTCTGAATCCACCCATGTGCACAGAACCCAAGTTACAAGTTCTTGCTCTAAGGATCTTAAGGCACCTAATACAGCATACGTCTAAATATAAAAGCAATAATAGTAACAGCTATCATTTATTGAGCACCTACTATGTGCAAGGCCTTGTGCTAAATGGTCCCCCCACACACATGTATTATCTCATTTAGTTCTTACCCTACAATGCAATGCCCATTACTCTGATAACCAACAACAACGAAAGTCAATAAACCTAGAACAGAAAATTTTTTTCAATAAACCTGGAAACAAAAACAGAAACAAACAAAAAAATTTTCATTACCCTGATAAGAAAACCAGTCAGAGGACTTGAATGACTTTCCCAAAGTCAAACAATAAAAGGAAGTGAACTCAGGGTGACTCTCCCTATGGTAAACAATGAATCAACAACAAGTCAAGGGTTTAAACTCAAGGCCAAAATAAATACAGAACATCTGGAGACATGTGAACATCTGGAGACATGTGAACATCTGGAGACAGGCTCACCTGTAGGATTTATGCAGCTCCGTGACTTTCTCTTCAAGTTCCCTGGTCTGATTTGGGGCCAGTTTAAAATCACTAACATAATCCACGCCATGCAGTTCTGGGTCATAGTCTCCCAGTTCAGACTGGATGGTGTAAGAGCCGAGGAGGGCTAAGGTTGCAAAGGAACAGGGCAGCCGTCCAGCAACGATGTCCTGCCGAAGCTGGAGACATAAATAGTATCTACATCCAAAAAAGAAAAGATGTGAATATATCAGTAACAACAAAAGAACAGACAGACAGATAAAAAGGAAGAAAGGGGAAAGAAGAGAGAAGGAAGGAGGCTAAGGAAACACGACATGATAATTGTCCAGGATAGGATAGTGGGCACATGGCTAGTCACTGTAAAACTGCTTCTCCCTCTTGTTTGAAACATTTTCATAAAACAAAAATACTGTAACTATGTTGAACAGAGTTGGAAAGCAGGTTAGAAAAAGAGGGAAAGCAGGAGACATCTGAAGGAGGTAAAGAAACTACTATTTTACTGAGCACATACTATTACTATGCACAGACATGTACACCATGAAAATGAAATGAACAGGTTTCTCAGGAAGAGAGACGGCATCTCAACTGAGAATAACTTCACACAGAGTAGCCTTAGACAATGCTACAGGGTTTCCACAGCATTCAATAATCAGATATTAGGAGTTGATCTTATTCCTTCATTCACATTTTCCTATATTTTTATTTTGTATACGGGTGTTCTGCCTGCACATATATCTGTATACCATGTGTATGCATTGGCCATAGAGGCCAGACAGAGGCCTGAGCTGAATTCCCTGGGGCTGGGGTTACAGACAGCTGTGGGCCACCACATGGGCGCTGGGAATTGAACCTGGGTCATCGGAAACAGCAACCAGTGCTTCTAACTACTCCAGCCCCTCTCTCCTTTAAGAGAGATGAAAACTGAATCCTAAAGATTGTAAATTCCTCAGAAACCAGATCATCGTTAACGAAATCAGACTTAGGAAGTAGTTTCTTGGCAACCCAGCAATTCAATGTAACAAATATTGCCAAGCATCTACTAGGAAGAGGGCTCTTGATGACATCACAGGCGTGAATGCTCACAGCAGTATTGTTCACCACATTGTAGTTTTCCATTAGTTTTTGTTCATCTTTGATAAAATCAAGTAAAAATAATTTTCTTAAAAATTCAATAGGTTGGTTTTATGTAAGATTTGTGCTATAAATTAAATGGGCTCAAAAGACGGGTCAGTTCATGGGGATGGTTTAAAAGAGAGATAAATAATTATCATGTGATTTTGCTGTTTTCAATCCTATGGGGAATACAGTAGGACAGTTAGAGCTTGTCCTCCAACCACAGTTTAAGAGAAGTCCCACCCACCATGTATTGTAGAGTGGAATGTCATGTGGTAAACAGGGCTGGCTCCTGCCAGGTTCCGGCCTTTTAGGCTCAGTATCTTCAAGCCTGTTTTGAAGGCACCAGAAAATCTGTACTTTAGACTAACCATTTATCATTTTTCTTCCTGAGTAGGGAAATTCCCAGAGCTTATGACAAGAATTACAGTTCTGTATTTACATGCTAATTATTTACCTTGTTATGTCTTCAGTTAACTGTGCTGGGTCTGGTGGATAAAACTTCACGTTAAATGTGAAATTCCACGGAACACCTATAAAAATAAAGACAGGAATTTCAGTCTAAATTTCTGGTCAAAAATATTGTTTTCCTTTTTGTTTTAAATCTTCCAACATTTTCATGTTTTGTGTTTTAAAATATTGTTACCTTGCTTAGATTCCACCTAGAAAAGCTAGAAGACCTCATTTATGTGATGATATATTGTTTATAATCTAAGAAATAAAGCTTGCCTGAAGATCAGAGGACAGAGCCAGCCACAGAGTTAAACATAGAGGTCAGGCAGTGGTGGCACACTCCTTTAATCCTAGCACTAGAGGCAGAGATCCATCTGGATCTCTATAAATTCAAGGCCATGCTAGGCTCACACAAGATTAACCCAGTCTAAAAAAGAAACAGAGCCAGGCAGTGGTGGCACACACCTTTAATTCCAGCACTTGGGATCACACACCTTTAATCCCAGCAGTATGAAGGTTGAAACAGGAAGTGCTAGGGCAGGGCAGAGAAAGGAGTATAAGGTGGAAGGAAATAGGAATTCACTCTCTTGCAGAGGCTCTATCAGGCTGAGGAGTTGATGAGGGAAGAGGTGGTTGCTGTGACTTGTTCTGCTTCTCTGATCTTTCAGTTCTCACCCTGATATCTGGCTCCAGATTCTAATTATAAGACCATTTAGAATTTGTGCAACACATTTATTTTATAATGTTAGTATAGTCTTCATTATAGTGGAGCAGAACCACACAGGCAAAACTGTATGAAGAAACAATCCTGCAGGTTGACTTGTTCATAGAACTTGTTTTAGAAATGTGATTTATATTCTGCTCTGAGCCATCAGAAGTTAATGGGTGCTCTTTTGCAATTTTGAAGATATGTATTTATGATATATACACATTATCTGAAATAAAAGTTCATGTGCACATATATACACAAATCAATGGATGTAAAAGAAGCAAAAATTTAAGATAAAATAAGTTCAGCAAAATAGTATTATTTGAGGAATCTGTGTAAAGGCCACCTAGGAATTCTTAAACTATTCTCTTTTTAAATTTTTCATAAGTCTAAAATAATTTTTAAAATTTTTTATTAATAATTTAAAAGATTTACTTCTCTCATCTCTGTGCATGTGTGTGTATGTGTGTGTGTGTATACACATACATGTGTGTGCGTACATGAGCACACGAACATGTATGTAGATGCTCACAGAGGCCAGAAGTTGTTAAAGGTGGTTGTGATTTGCCTGACATGGGTGCTAGGAACCAAACTTAGGTCCTCTGGAGGAGCAGGAAGTGACCTCAACTGCTGATTATTTCATTTTTTTTTTTTTTTTTTTTAATTTTTCGAGACAGGATCTCTCTTGTGCATCCTTGGCTGTTCTGGAACTTACTCTGTAAACCAAGCTGGCCTCACACTCAACAGACTCACCTGCTCTTCCTCCAAGTGCTGAGATTAAAGGGTGTGTCACCACCTCCCATCTTAATTAATGATTTTTTTCAAGTGACTTTCTGAGGCTGAAGAGATGGCTGGCTTAGCAAGTAAGAGCAATTGCTACCCAAGTATGAATTCAAGTATCCAGAACCCAAGCTAAAAAGCTGGCCATGGTTGCAGCCGCCTGTAATCCCAGCGCTGTTGTAGGGCAGAGCGGAGAAGTGACAGGGGCTCGATGGCCACCAGCACAGTCACAGCTTCAGTGAAGAGCCCCTGTCTTGTTGGAATAAGGTGGAAAGTGACAACAAGACATCTAACATTTTCCTCTGGTTTCTGCTAGCAAGCACCAGCCCGTAACACACACACACACACACACACACACACACACACACACACACACACACGAGTAAATTCTAAAATGACTTTCTTCTGAGAGCACACATAAAAACGTAAATGGTTGCAACCAATGTAAAGAAGCCACCGTGCAGTATCTTGCAAAGGTGAAAACAACTCAATTCTACTTCCAGATGTTCTACTAAACCCTATTCCAGGCATACACCCTAAATCAGGTTGTTTTGCCTTTTTTTTTTTTTTAACTGTAGGTTACAATCCATTGTAAACCATTTTGGTGGAGGAAATATAAGCACTAAAAATATGAAACAGATATAAAAGAAAACATCAAGATGTGACTCAAGGGTTAAGAATTGTTTGGTGAAATTTCTTTCTGATCAACGTAAGTTTCAAAAATGACTGAATAAGAAAAGTCACTTAATTTATATGACATGCAAAAGGTTTCAATATAGCCATATTTTTAAATAACAAAAATACAAAAGTAAAACCAATCCCAAAAATTTAATGGAATAATTATCACAGAGTTCAAGAAAGTGGTGACCTTTGGGAAGAAAGTAGAAGAGGGTACATGGGCTAAAGGTTTTTTTAAAACATAATTTGGGCCGGGCGGTGGTGGCGCATGCCTTTAATCCCAGCACTCGGGAGGCAGAGCCAGGCAGATCTCTGTGAGTTCGAGGCCAGCCAGGTCTACAGAGCGAGATCCAGGAAAGGCACAAAGCTATACAGAGAAACCCTGTCTCAAAAAACAAAGAAAAATAATAATAATTTGGGTAAATTACATGTAATTTTCAACATACAGAGAAGGTGTAAGAATATCCTGCCTATGGACTATCACTGGTTTAAATTTTCTAAAATTCTAAAACTGTGTTAAATTTTTTATTAATAATTTTTAAATAACTGGCTATTTTTGTAATTTTTTATAAAATTTTATGTGCATTGGTGTTTGTCCAGCATGTATGTCTGTGTGAGCAAGTCGGATCCACTGGAACTTTGAGTTACAGACAGTTGTGAGCTGCCATGTGGTTGCTGGGAATTGAACCCGGGTCCTCTGGAAAAGCAGCTAATGCACTTAACCCAGCCCTATTAATAAATTTTTTAAAGAATTATTTCTGTATGTGTGTGTATATGTGTGTGTTTCATGTGCACAGCTGATAACAGAGGCCAGAAGAGGTTTCTGGATGCACTGGAGTCAAAATTACAGGTAGTTGTGAGCTACCTGACATGACATAGGATGTGGATGGCTGGCCTGAGTCAGCAAGTGAGGGCCCTCATCCAGAACAAAGAAAATAAAGGACCTTGGAGTTAAGCTAGCAGGAGGAAAAATGACAAACTCAGAAGAAGACACAAAAGGCTGGCTCTAAGGAAATGCCACAATAAAGGATAAAGAAACTACTGTCTGCTGTACACAGGGATGACACATGAGAAGTACAGAAACAAAAGCTGGAAGGAGTGCCCAAGCTGACAACAGACTTCTTTTTTCTTTTCTTTTCTTTCTTTTTTTGTTTTGCCCTGGAACTGAGGACCGAACCCAGGGCCTTGTGCTTGCTAGGCAAGCACTCTACCACTGAGCTAAATCCCAACCCCTGACAACAGCCTTCTATGGATGGGAAGAGATGTGAATGAAAAGAAAGCCAAAGAGCTCAGGCTTCCCGCTTCTGGTCCAAACAAAAATGCTAACACACATTATTTCTGGATGGATGGGGAGACATGGGTTTTGTTACATAGCTTCCATACTTTATTGAATTTCTATTACTTTAATTTTTTTTTTTTTTGCTTCAGTGTTTTTTCTTTCCTTTTCTTTCTTTTTTGGCTTATGCTAGGTAAGTGCTCTATCACCATGCTATATGACCAGTCCTAAACTTTATCCTACTTTTTAAGAACCTGACTGAGTTGGGGAGATAGCTCAGTTGTTAAAGCTGTTATCTATAGACACTTAGCAAATGCAGAGATATAGTCACAAATGCAAACATGAGTATAACAGAAAACTAATGAGAGTAATCTAAAACACAGAAATATGACTACTTATATATAGTGTATGCGATCATTTAAAAAAATATAGATAGATGGAAGGAAAGATAGATAGACAGGCAGGAAGGCAGGCAGGCAGGCATACATAGGCAGGCAAAAGATACCAATACTCTGTTATATAAAAAAGATGAGTCGCATATTTAAATAGACACAACCATGGGTATGTGTTTATATACACTCAGACTTGTCTAGAAGGAAGACAAGAAATTAGTTACCATGGTTGCCTCCAGAAAAAGAAACTGCATGACTAAGACAGGGAGGAAGATTCACCTCGTGCTATTTTCATCTGCACCTTTTAATTTTATACTGTATACCTGCAACATTTATTTTTTAAATTGAATTTTAAAACCATGTACAGCATAATTGCTTTGGTTGGTTTGTTTTGAGAGAGGCCCTCAAACAGCTGAAACCCTGAATATGGGGTTTCAGATATGTGCATCCCTCCTGGGTACATTTTGAAAAATTCATATCTGCATAAAATATCTTAGAGGTTATTTAATTGATTAGATTAAATGATGTTTAAGTTTTTCATGGGGCCACAGTGATGGCTCAGCAGGCAAAGGTGCTTGCCACAAAAGCCTGGCTACCTGAATTGAATCCCTCCCTGGAACCCATGGATAGGTGGAAGTAGAAACTGACTCCACGAAGCTGTTCTCTGACCTCTGCATACATGCATATGTGCATACACACATGTATACTCAATAAAACTTCCAAAATAAATAAAATTGCCATGAGGATACATTAATTATATGATGAAAAGGTTAAAAAGGAAAATATCTTTGTAACATGTAAAGACCACTTTGGGTTCCTGACATTATATATTTGATTCACTAGTAAAGTTTTTATGGATTTTCCCCCACGCAGTAGGAAGGTTTTCTTCATTATTTTTAATAGAGTCTTGCTTGGGCTATCTAGCGTGACCTGTCTCAAAATAGTAATAACAAAAACAATAATTATAAAATAATAAATTTCAAGCTTTTATCAGTGAAGAACAAATGTAGAAAGTTGCCAATTCCCCGGCCAAAAAAGTTTTGCCTCTCTATTTTAAGAATGCTAAAACAAAAACAAAATGAAATAAAAAGAATGCTAAAACAATCATGCACAAGGTCTAAAGAAAAACATTTCATGATAAAAGAAATGTTTCAAGAAAGAAGTGAACAGTTCTGGTTGGGTAACAGAGTTAAAAATCTGCTCGTCAGGATGAGTAATAACCACTAAACTAAAGTGATAGCTCGATGGCCGTAATCAAGACAAGCCATCTCAATGAGTCCACTGGGTGTGGGACTATGAAATACCAATCTGCACATTTTTCATCCCAGAACAGTAGAACGAGCAGGGCATGCAACAGTGAGATACACTCAGGCTACGAGAGAAGCCCCATGGCCAGATGGCCAGTGGAGACAAACCTGCCTTCATTTTTCCTTCCTTAAATTTGCAAAAGGATGACAAGTAAAGCCTCCCCTACCTCAGGGCATGTGCTCCAGGGCCATCGGTGGATGCCCGAAATCTTGACGAGTACTGAAACTATAGAACCTAAAGGACACACTTGGTACCTTCTCTTTGGCCTAACCAAATCGCCAACATCGTTACTCTTGTACTCTGTGGCCATTATGAGATGAGGGAAGGTTTCCTAGCACAAGCCTTCGATGTCTATCTGATGAGCCACCCAAGTGCTCGCAGCTATACATACAGCATGCATGGGTATGCGAGACAAAAGGAGACTCGTGGCCTAGACACGGTGGTGCAGGGCCACACGAGGTTTCATTACCACCCAGAAAAGCACACAACCCAGAGGTTACAACCCAGAGGTTTCCACTGATTATTTTCAGACCACAGTTACATGAAATTGCAAAAAGAGAGAAGCTACCATAGAGGGGAAAACCTGGAGAAAGCTAGAACACAGGAATGCGAGTGGAGCTCATGCGTAAGGCCCTGACTTCAATCCCTAACACCAAAAAGAGAAAGGGAAAGGAAAAACAAAAGGACAAGAAGAACACAACAGTCTAGCAGCTAAAGGACCGAGATCCAATAGCACACCCCTGCTGGTGGCTAGCACAGTTTCTGTCTCTGCCATTTGGAGAGCTGACACCATCTTCATTATTTTCCTACTTCTGTTACTCTCCCCTATTCCTACTTTTCCAACTTCGCCTAGTTGGTTCTTATTTGGTCTTTTAAGGTCAAAATCTGACCTACATCTCAACAGTGTCAACCTCTACTCTATTTTTCTACTACAGAATCAGCCCTTCCAGGGAAAAGCTTTATTTCTTTTTCAAAGCAGTCGGCCACAGTCAGTGCTCTCAGGTGACTGACTCACAGCCAGCGATGGTTGGTGACCCTCTGGCCCACCTGAAAGAGACAACTATAAAAGGGCTGTATCCACTTACCTCGAACCTGCTTTTTTATTTCTTTGGCAGAATCCAGCCATGTCTGTAAAAAGAAGAAAAGGCATTCACACGGAGCCCCAGAACACACTAACAATTCAGTACTGGAGGAAGCTCCCTGACCACCTTGGGAAACCACCTCTGGATGAACCTACATTTCCCTTGGAAACCTTTGCATTAATTTTACAAAGCACAGTGGTTTCTCAGCAGCAAAAAAAGGAAGCAGAAGTTGGTTTGAATCCACGCTCCAATATGTCCTAGATGAGTAACTAGAGCCTCTCCATACCTAAGTTCCCTTAACTCTAAAATGTAAATTTTGTCAGAGTATGCATCTTACAGAGCTGCTCATATATGTAAGCCTGTTTGTAAACAGCAAATGTGAAATAAGTGTGTGCTATTTATAGTATTAGGGAAAGATTAGTAAAGATCTAGGACCAGGAGTAAGAGACATCATCCAAATCTTATTTTCTCCTCTAACTTTGTCTTGTTCAAAATTTCTGTCAGCACAGCCTCTGTGCACAGTTCATTGCCCAGTTAATGTCTACTGAAAAGAATATATCTTGCCCGCTTGAACATCTCCCCCTTCTACGTTCTTCCACCCCACTTAAGAGTCTATACATCAGGCCAGGCGGTGGCGCACGACTTTAATCCCAGCACTCAGGAGGCAGAGCCAGGCAGATCCCTGTGAGTTCGAGGACAACCTGGTCTACAGAGTGAATTTGGACAGGGACCAAAACTACACAGAGAGAACTTGTCTTGGGGAAAAAAAAAGTCTATACATCACTACAGCAGTCCCCTTCAACCTGCAATGTCCCCTGTGACATACTGGCACTTTAGAAAAAGTTTCACTACTAACAATCCTTCATAGGCCTCTGTGAGATGTTTAAAGATAAAAACTGCTAAATTTCTAGTATTATTATTATTATTATTAATATTATTGAGGTTAGGGTCCCATGATGTAACTCTAAATGAATGGTCTGGAACTTGATATGTATACCAGGCTAGCTATGAAATCAAGAGCTCTATCTGCCTCTGTCTTCTAAGGGCTGGGATTAAGGTATATACCACTATACCTCATTTATTTACATTAGATTTTAAACTACTAAACTATTTAAAACTATAAGATACATATTCACTTTGGATGAAACTCAGTGATAGAATACATGCTTGCATGTGCAAGGTTCCCAGGTTTAATCCCCAACACACACACACACACACACACACACACACACACACACACACACAGCACATAATTGTTTGAGCCCTGTCATAAAGGAAGTGTCTGCATGGTTTTCCTTGGCCTCTCACTTGGTCCAAAGGCAAGGGAATTCAAACACCAATGCTGAGTCTGCAGGGACCTCTGAAAACCCTCAGCTTATGTGCAACCCAAAATGCTTACTAATGGCAACTTTCTCCCCTGTTGGAGCGGTGTCTGCTCCCACAGCAGAGGGCTCCATATTCTCCACTGTTTGAAGAGACTTCCCAACTCTTCCTTCTAGAGATCTCACAAGCAGTTTAAAGACCGGGGCCAAAATCCCCACCAAGCAGAGCCAAGACCTTCTAGTGATGATAACAGCAGTGTGTATACGTCTATGTTCAATTTAAAACATTCAGTTCGCAGGGCTGGAGAGATGGCTCAGCTGTTAAGAGCACTGGTTGATCTTCCAGAGGACAGAGGGTCAATTCCCAGCAACCAGTTACTGTCTGTAACTCCAGTTCCAGGACTTCTGACACCCTCACACAGCTATACATGCAGGTAAAACACCAACGCACATAAACTAACACTACATTAAAAAAAATTTCAATTCTCAGTATCTTATGTAACCAACAAATGTTTGAGCAATGATTCCATGTGGATGGCATTGTGGTTATGAAAAAGACTAAAAATAACACTTAAGGAGCAGTCACTAATGAGAGAGATGGTCAGTGAACAAAAATTTGCTCGCCTTGGGTATGAATGACTACGGCAGTGCTATGCTGAAGCTGGAACTTTAGGAAGTGTTTCTCCAGGTATCTGGGGAGTCTGAGTCTTGAAATATGAATCAGCCAGACAAAGGAGAAATGACAGAAATTAAGTGGGTACAAAAGTATAAAAGAGTTGCTGTGTGTGTGTGTAGCTCAGCATAACCTGAGCAGAGGTAATTATGGAGGAGAGGTAAAACTGAAAGGTACTGAAAGGGTCAGTACATGGAGACAGTACTCTGTGCTAAGAGAGCTGGGCTTCATTAAGCTCTAGACAAATAGAAGCCACTGAAGGGTTTAAATTTGTTGTTGTTGTGTTTTGTTTTTCAAGACAGGGTTTTACTGTACAGCTTTGGCTGTCTTAGAACTCTGTAGACCAGGCTGCCCTCGAACTCACAGAGACCTGCCTCTGTGTCCTACGTGCTGGGATGAAAGGCGTGCACCACCGCCATCCAGCCACTGAAGGGTTTAAAATAAAGCAGTATTTGTTCTCAATTAGAGTCTCTGTCTACAGTCAGGCAGTAAAGGATAAGGTTCAGGTGTCTTAACCTTTCCACCTTGATACGGGATGATCTTCCTGGACTTCGAATTTTTTTATCATTAAAATTATAGGAATAAGCACAGTAGGTATTTTCTCTTGATGATGAAAAAAACACATTAGTAATGCTCTCTCTTTAAAAAAAAAAAAAAGTAAGCCGGGCAGTGGTGGCGTACGCCTTTAATCCCAGCACTCAGGAGGCAGAGGCAGGTGGATCTCTGTGAGTTTGAGGCCAGCCAGGGCTACAAAGTGAGTTCCAGGAAAGGCGCAAAGCTACA